GAAGATGCAGCAGCAGCAGATCCTCCCGCCGAGCCTGAAGCCCCTCCTGCTGAAGACGCAGCAGATCCTCTCGCCGAGCCTGAAGCCCCTCCTGCTGAATTCATAGCAGATCTTGGTGTTGACCCCTCTGCAACGGGTGAGGAGCTGGACCTACCAGGCCCCTCAATAGAAGCGGCACCAGCACCTGGGGCCGCCCAAGAAATTGAGGTCTCAGCAGGACTTGTAGGGCAGTAGACCCTAACACTTTTCTTTTTCCAGTCTTTCTCGTGCCAACGCATTATCACGATGAAAGTGGCCTTCTGTGCTATTACTTTCCCGCGTAACGTTTGAAGGTTTTACCGATCACTTTTCTCATGGCACTGTCGGTATCAACTATGCCGAAAAAAAAGGGATGGACATGACCTCGAGCAAATTGACTCTTGGCACAGTTGAGAAATTTCAATGATTATCCTTTGTCATGGCTTTTTGGGGGTAAAAATGATAGTTTCCAGGGGACAGCGTGGCCCTAGAATGGGCCGTGTGCTTGGATAGGAATTCTCTTAGCCAGATAGAGTGTACACTTACAAATCTAAGTACCAGCAAGCGAAAGTGACTGCCTTTAAGGTGGAGGTGCTTCAGCTGGTTAAAATTAACAGCGAATGAATTGCGGTACCCAAATGCTTCTCGTTTGCGTAAATTGTTTTACCTCAGTGCCTGTGAAGGGAGGGGCGCGAACATCTCAACCTCCCCGCTCCTTCCCGGGGGCACACCTTGTCGGGCAGCTCCCGTGCGCATTCATGTCACACCAACATGATACGTTTGGCGTAGCGAACAAAGGCACTGGCAGATGGCATCATGTCAATAAGGATTGAATTGCTATTCGTTAAAAAAATGTTATCATGGCTCAGATTCTGTTACTATTGGCCCACCGACTCTTTAATGCACCCACAGATGCGGGGCCGCCTCCCCGACCTGGGGCTCACTTGGCTATGAAAAAGGACTTATCAACATGGAGACCGTGAAATCAACCTCCGTGCAAAGTCATGCGAGCGCAGCCCTGACCTCCGATTTCGATGCAGCTTTTGCATTCCAAGTTGACGCTGACGACGACACCTCACTTCCTGACGTTACTTGCAGAAATCACGCCAATGAAAAACTCCCAACCCCTTTTGAATTATGGAAGTACATTTATGCAAGCATTTTATTCGGTAATCCTCTCCTACGGGACTTGGTATGGATTAATCTTGCTGTACACGTCACATTCTGGCTTCTCTTCTCAACCCTTCTGTGGGCAGTATTCTTGGGATACCTGCCATTTTCTATAACTTTCAAGGCATATTTCTTCGGATCTATGGCTGTCGTTGTAAGTATTGTAGTGACATAGTTTCTTTTTGGCGAATGCAAGCCTTACCGGTACTGTTGTAGAGCTTGCTTACCGACCCACATTTTCTTCTGCTAAAAAATCTCCAGGCCGTGTGCACAGATTTCTGGGGCATATTATTGAATGCGACGATGCTTATTCGCCTTCGCGACAATGTCAAGTACCCTTCCTTCGGAAAAGCTTGCAGAAATCTCATTCAAAACAAGCGTTTCTCCTCGATCGCTTCTTTGACGGGAGCTACCACCGGGGTCCGCATCCTCTACCTCACGAGCAACAACCTCATACCTTTCTTTGGCACGTTTATCTTGCCCCTACTTGTGCAAAAATGCACGGTGCGGCAAGTAGGGGTGGCGTGGGAACAGCAGGTGCGTAGGACGATTTCTGGGGCTGTGTCCTGGAGTGGGAGCGGAGAACATCCCTCATTCCAACTATTGTCACGCTTTTAATCGCACCTCTCACTGTGCTTGTCCTCTTTACATATCAGATGGACATGTCCTTGGCTGTCGGCATCAACGAGCGCTTGGGCTATCCTACCTCGAGGTACAGGGCCATCGCGTACCTCAAACACCGCTGGGGGGAAGATCCTTACCCGCTTGTGAATGCAACCTCCGTCATCATTCTTCCCTTGCTGGCATTCATCTTCTTTGTCATCCTTCCTTTAATGGTGGTTGGGCTCGTTAGGAAAAATCGGGAAATCCTGGCAGTAGGTTTCTCTTGTGTTATATTTTTGTTCGGTTTCATCCAATTTGCCAGACCATTACCCGCCAATATCTACTCCATGGCAGCTTATCGCTATACAGAGTACGGTGAGAATGATTTATTCTCCCGATGGCCCACCCTCGCTCCGAGAGCTTATCGAAGCCGGGCGAGAGAAAGGGAAGAAAGGGACGCAAAAAAAGCTGATGCAAATGCAGCACAGGCAAAATAGACCGCCGTTGGTGGAGATTCAAGCGAGGACGATGATGGATGGGTGCTTTTTCAGGGAGGAGCACAGGAGGAAGTGGATAGCGGAAGACAGGAGAATCGTCAAAATATTTGTGACGGGGAAAGATAATTTGAGATAGCAGCACACACGATGGCGCAAGCGCCAGCAAAATGCGCAAAATGTGTTGATGAAAATCGATCTATAGAGTTAATATTCGATAGATGATTTAATTTATCAAAGAAGGAGAAAAATTGGCCGGAACCCCCTTCCAATCTTTCTCATACCGCTTTCAAAAATAAATCTGTTTTTGAAGTCTTTTTCTACTGCCCATTAGCCAAAAGCAATGAACAGCTTCCCTTGCGCGTCCAGTTTCTAAATCTAAATGTCTCTTGCCGCTTTACGCGCTTATTTACGGTTGTCAATGCCAAAATTCGGGAGAGAGGAGGGTAAAGAGATGTGGTTTATTGAACCTCCCGCCCCGGGAGCGAGAAAGCAGCGAACACCACAACGTCATCATAGTTAGCACCCAGTCAATCCGGCACACGCCCCGCGAAGAACGCCTAATTGCTTTCGATATTCCCACACAGCATGGCAGATGGGGGGTCCGATCACCGGTCACAACGCCTTATAGTGCTCTACGGCAGTCAGACTGGCACCGCGCAAGATCTGGGGGAAGAACTCGCAAGGAAGGGCAGACGGCGAGGCTTCAGTCCCGTTGAACTCCAGGCATGGGATGATTATGACGTGACACGTCTGCCGGAGGAGACCCTATTGCTTGCTGTTGTGAGCACGACAGGAGACGGTGAAGAGCCGGACAACATGCGAAAGTCGTGGCGTTTTTTGTTGCGCAAGGCTTTGCCAGCTGGGTCGTTGGGGAGGCTACGCTTTGGCACTTTTGGTCTTGGCGATTCCACTTACCCTAAATTCAACGCAGTCGCCCGTCGTCTCCACACACGGCTCAAACAGTTAGGGGCCAAGCCGTTGGTTGAAATCGGATTAGGCGATGATCAAAGCCCCCGCGGAGTGCTCGGAGACTTCGATACATGGTGCCAGTCCATGTGGCCGGCCCTTCACGCCTTATGTCCAGGGGTCTTACTTCCTCCCGACGTGAACCGCCCAGCGTTGGAGCCCCTTATCTATGACTGCCAAGTTGTGGAGATATGTACCGGGGGGGCGGGAGATGATGTGGGTGACGCAGCCGCCCTTGGACATCGCGCAGCTCCTAACTATCCCAATGCTCAAGAGGGGGAGGAGGAAGACCTTGATGACTTGCCCGCCTTTTACCAGAGGCCTTATGGAGCCCGCAATCCCGGACCACGGCCTTTTCCAGCCCGACTTCTGGTCAACAAGCGCTTGACGCCCGACGACTGGTTCCAAGAGACTCGGCATCTGGAGTTCGACCTGGGAGGGTTCCTTGAGGGGGCGGGACAGGGGCGGGACGAGGACAAATGCGGCGGCCCCCAAGGGACACGGCAGGAGCGACAACCCTACCAGGCGGGTGACGTGGCCTACCTGTATCCAGAAAACCGTCCGAACGCGGTCTCTGCGTTCCTGCGCCTCTGCAACCTCCACCCCCAGACCATCCTTCGGATTCGCCACCACCCGGAGGGAAAGGCCCTGACAGACCTTTCAGGGCCCGGCGATGTGCCCTCCGAATGCCGGGCTGCCACCCTCTTTCGCCGTTACCTGGACATTAACGCGGTGCCCAAGCGGGCCGTGCTCGAGCAGCTGGCCTTGCTGGCCGAGAACCCCGAAGAAAGGGACAAGCTTCTGGAGCTCTCCTCGCCCGAGGGCGCGGATCTCTACCACGAGTACTGCTACCGGGAAAAACGATCCGTCGGCGAAGTTCTGCAAGATTTCCCCTCCGTTCGTCCCTCCCTCTCCCGCCTCCTCTCCCTCCTTCCCCGCCTCCGTCCTCGCGCCTTCAGCATCGCCTCCTCCTCCCACCCCCTTGGTCCCTCCCCCAACCAGCTCCATCTCTGTGTCGCAGTCGTCGCTTTTCGTACCCCTTACAAACGCCATCGCCAAGGCTTGTGCTCGAGCTACCTGGCGTCGCTGTCCCCCGGGAAGCGGGTGCCCCTGTGGATCAGGCCTGGGTCGTTCCTCCTGCCCCCTGATCCGCGGACTCCCTTGATCATGGTGGGCCCGGGCACGGGCGTGGCCCCTTTCAAGGCCATGGTGGAAGAGCGAGCGGCCCAGCGGAAAGCCATGGCGTCCGCAGCAAACGGGAGGCACGACGTGGGAGGGAAAGCGAACGTGGAAGGCGAAGGAAGCGTGGTCTCGAACAGGCCTCCACCCTACGAATGGCTGTTTTACGGGTGTCGGAAGGAAAAAGTGGATTTCTACTACCGGAAAGAACTGGAGGGGTACACCCGGGAAGGAAAGGGAGGGGATGAGGAAGGAAGAGGGGAGGGAGGGCTTGTGCTGGTGACGGCTTTCTCCCGGGACCGGGCTGACGGGAGCAAGCTTTATGTGACACACCGGCTCCAGGAAGAGGGGCCGCGGCTGTGGCCCTTGTTGGCGGGGGAGGGGGGACCGGGGTTGGACCCGGTGACAAACAAAGAATTGGCCTCCTTTTTCGTGGCGGGTTCGGCAAAACGGATGCCGACGGACGTGCTGAACACCCTCAAGGGCGTGGCGGCGACAGAGGGGAGGCTGGAAGGGAAGGAGGCGGGGCAGTTCTTGGACGGCTTGGTCCGGGCGCGCCGGTACTGCGTGGAGTCGTGGTCGGTGTGAGAGGGTGGGAAGTAGAGCAAGCTGAGCCCGGATTCGACTCCCGACAGAG